AACTATAATCCCTTCGTCAATATGATCCGATCAATTACGAGATATGAAATTGTGTTAATCTCGATCATCGATCATATCTTTCACTCTACTATTAAGTCAATATAAATCGAAAACTCCTTTTCGACTTATGAGTACACCTTGGCCAAGGATTTCATCATTGACTTAATTGAATGAAACGCAGATCATAATCTCCTACTATCTAAGAGTGACGAATCCTTTATTGATCAATCACAACCTTCATACGATTCTTGACGTACCCGAACGATGTCGTATTAGCGGCCCTTTTCAGAGCAACATCCAACACCGCCAAAGTATGACTGTCCTCATATAAGGTACCATGACGACCTCAAGTCAAATGACCAATTTTACTACCGAACGTTAGAGATTAACCACCGACACTCAGATAGTTATCCATGTGGAATCTCTCGACGGGTCTCCAATGTTTTGTTTTATAACAAACATCCACGTGTTCATTTAAGTGTCACCACACTTTAACTTGTGAGATCAGCTACTTACTTCACAAATTAGAAATGCCACACGTGACGGTCTATCCGTAATAACGATATCCGTATCTCGTTATTACTTACGACCACGGATGATTTAAGATTCAATCAGATTTAATTTGTATCTCACAATCACAACTCCTTATGATTAACAAATTACAAATATTTAAATCTACGGACTCTATTATTTATTTAATTGTCTATTAATTAAATAATAGATCTGCCATTTAATTGCATTAATTATATATAAAAATATTTATGTCCAAAGTTGATTGGACCTAGGGCACAATACTTACAAAATGGTCATGTGATATTCACATGATGTCAGACAAAAAGGATAACATTATTCAAAAGATTTTCTTTGTTCCACAACAATTGAGAAAGAAACTTCAACCTTCATTTAGAAATTCAAATACGGTAAAATCCCTCAATATTCATGACATGTATCCTTTTGCTTCAATCCATCCCCAGTATCACGCTTGTTTTACACAGCATTTTGTTAGCAGAGGATATGGATGTCACTGATTTAAAATATTAGAAACTTAATTGCAACAAATAGTAAATTGTTATATATATTCTGGTAGAATTTACACATACATACTTTTTCATTTTCACAGTTATATCTTGAAAGAAGGGCAAAATGATAGTTGCACCAACCAATGCCACTAGAATTATGGTTTACAATGTATTGGGAGCATCATACAATCTTCCTCACCTCATAAAAAGTGTCACAAAAGGGGACATTTATACTATAGTAATGCTTATTTTATTTACATTTATCTATGCATTTTTCCCTCTTTTAGATCAGCATCTAGTTCATTGTTAGTTATACCTACATCAACCAATTGTGTGAAGTTAATTGGAAGCTAAGGCACTTGACATATTTGTATAATTACCCACTACACCAACTTGTTTATTTATCTACTATTTTTATCATGACTTGCCAGTAAGAATATAATTGAACTTAATCTAAGTCAAACTGTAGGCTGTAGCACATAATATTTTAAAGAAATTAAGCTTTATTTACAATAAATTTGGAGTCGATTGTTCGTTCGATTCATTGCTGAAATATTTGATACGTAAAGAAAGAATTAAAACCTTTTCAACAAGAACTCAGGTCATTGAAATCATACTAATGCTAGGACTTGTCGGATGAAGCAAGATTGAATCCCTATTTCTCCAGCGTTGAACGAATTCAGTCACACCGTTCATATTCACGAAATGACTTGAATTGGTATCAATCTGAATACATCAAGTTATTAAAGAAACAAGCATTCCCATTTTCCTTTCATTTAATTTAGTAACCTGATTCTTTGACTTTCTTTAACATCATGGCACCGTAAAGTAGACTTTAGAATACTCGGTCCTATGTTTGTACAGTACTGCACACCAAACATGCCTTTGTTGTAAACTATGCAACGTTGAAGCAACTAGGCAGTTTGACCAGATGATAATGCCGTAATCTCTCTCTTCTATTACAAGAACTTGTGCATAAGCTCGGACGCATCAAGTTAAATACAATATTCCCACATCTAGTGAATGAGCTCAAGCTTTGATTAGTTATCACAAATTGCTCCTCTTTTCTGTACTACATGTTATGTGAGGTGCAAGCTGAGTTGACTCCAGTGAAGTCTCAAAAGCTAGGAGACAGATTATGATGCAAAAAGATAAAGACATGGAGTGCCAAATAGTTATAATATATGCTTCAACTTTACTTTTTTTTTCCCTTTCTTTTTTAGCGAAGTCAGGAGAGGAACTTTCGGATATACAAAAACAATCAATATAGATATGAAGGTTAGGTCAATTTGGATAGTGATTTAATCATATATCTGTAAACTAATCATATTTGTTAAATGTGGAATGGTACAAAGCCTCCACTTCTTTATCCTTGGTTACTTTAATTTGAATGTAAAGCCTATAAACGGAGCATGTTTGAAAGGGAGAACAGGATATTACTCATAAATCTTCAGAAAGAAAAATACGTTAAAATCTTGTTTATTATACTCTCTGGTATCTAGAATCCCTACAAAACATGACTCAACGGAACTTAGCTTCAAAACAAAACACTAGAGGTTCAACAAACGAGAATGTTTGAGAGTGCTTAAAAGCTCCTTAAACGGTTTTTGGCAGCATAAAAAAAGAGCTTTTAATCACTTGCGATGATGCAAAACAAGCCCATTTTAAGGAGATTTTAAGATCTCCCAAACATGCTCAAAACCTTAGTAGTAATACATCTAGGGTCGGCTACATGGATCAATTTTCCCACCCATCTACTGTAAAATTCAAAGCAACTATAACATGCTCTATTTGTTTTGCTGGCTACCCAGCAAATGAGTATTTTACTAAAAACTAGGAGTTTTGGCTCAGGGCGCGAAGGTCTGTTTAAGAAAAGAAATGAAAGTGCACTGAAAGATAGGATCTTATGGACCACATTGCAAGATAATGTTCGAAAGCAACTACAAGTAAAAAGCAGATCTGAGCAACACATTTCAGATTCTCTTCCTGTAGCTATAGGATGATAATAGTGAAATATAACACCACTCTACCTGGTAAAGTAAAATTCATCAGTAACTCTAAGGATTTGGAATTGGGGGCACAAGGGAATGGCAATCAATCCTTTCAGTTTCAAGTGGAGACGAAGTGGCATAGTTGAATGAAATGTAGCACCACATTACATTACCTGGCGATGTACGAATTGTGATAACTCAAAAGCTTAACGGGAGATGAATGAGAGAGTATTAGTTAATGCTTTCCGGTTCTAGTAGGGATGGAGCGGTATAGTTGAGTGAGATGTAGCACCATACTAACTAGTAAACTCCACAAAACAACATAAAAAATCCGATGTTAACGTTGTTATTATTCATGAGTTTCTGCACCTAAAAGATAATGACAATTTCATTTTTTCCTTCAGATTGATTTCCATAGCAGTGTATTTCTTCAGGTTAGTGAACTGGGGCACAACTGACTTCGGAAACTGCAAATTGCATAACTAAGAAGAATTGGATTTTCACCTATAGCGAAGTCCATTAATCATTGTGAAAAACAAACTGTGCCAATGTCAATGTTTCAATATAAAAGGATGGATGAATTTAAGGTCAAAAATTGAGGCCTATTCTTAGAATGAAATGGACGATATTATAAGGCTTCTTACAGTCGATATACAGCAAATTAGTTGCAATTCCAGCACCATCGTTGATATCAGCAAAAAACAGATCATAATGAGGCATATTGTTAACCAGATTATCCAAATGCTAGTCGCGCCTGAGTTGAATACCAACCTACCGTGAAGGAATTGGCAGCATGTCATCCTCATCCTCCTCTGGAGCCGGAAGATTAAGATCAAATAAGTTGGGAAACTTGGGCTTGATTTCTGGAGTTTGATTATTGTTTTTCCATTGACCACCGATAAAATGAGATCTCTTGTGCCCCCCTAAAGCCTGGCCGTTCTTGTAAACCTTGTGGCAGAATGGACACACGTGCACTTTGTTCTTCTTAGGCTTAACTTTTTTCTCAGCATAGTTGGAGGTATTTTTACCAACTGATTTTTTAACTGTTCTGGAATCGAGAGCATAGTCATCTAGGCTGTTTTCACCAGTTTCGTAATGAGGTTCAGAACTAACATTGTTTCTTTTGTGGCAGGGTCTATGGCCTCCAAGAGCCTGATATGAGTTAAAGGTCTTTTTACAGTTCAAGCATTCATATTTACTTCTCATCTGTGTCTTATTGCCTACTTCTGAAGAACCATTTTCCATTCTCCTACTCTCAGAAATATACTCTCTCTTTCGCGAGTGAATCTTAACAGAATTTGAATTCATCCCGTATCCATTTTCCTTGGTAAGTTCTTTGCTCTGCTCTGTTTCAAAATGCTTGACTCCATACGAGTTCTTCCTGAATCCAATAGCAGACTCCTCACGTCTAGCTCCAATACTCGTAAACAGCTTCTTGGAATCATTAGAAGAACTGTTTCTATGGTGCCCATCAACAGATAAATCGGAGTCAACCTTGGTGCATTCGTCTAAGAAATAACCCGAATCTGAGTTACTCATTTGAGCAATGTCAGCATCCAAAGCAATGGCTTTTGATTTCCTATTCCCAATTTTCTTCGTTTGGGGAGTCTCGTCTACATTGTGAACATAATCTAGGAATTCCTTTCTACAAATTTTCATGTCAATGGACGAAGATTTAGTCTCCAAAATAACTGAATCATTATCAGAAGTCTCGACAACTGAATTTACACCTCCTTCATTCCAAGAATTCCTAGATAACATCATTAAACACAAGGCTACGTCCTCTTGTTCTTGCTCATCGATCTCAGAAACAGACGAAGAACTATTAGCTAAGGAAAAAGAGGACGACTTAACAACTACATTCTTGTTCCTCTTACTCTTTGCTGATCTTGTTCTCAGCCTACGATCCTCAACCTCAGCATCCGAATTACTATCCATCACCATCTTTGAACTCGTCCAAGAATGATCGTACTTCAAATCCCTATCCTTCTCTGAATGACACGCCATATGACCGCACAATGCTTTCGTTGATTGAAACCCTTTACCGCATTGTTTGCAGACCTTCTCCTGTGGCAAGGGAGAAGTCAAATCGACAGCCCTCCAGGTTTTCTTGGGATTTTCTCTAAGTCCATAACTTGATTGCCCATTTCCAAGTTCAACAGCCTTCGACTCTTTGATGAAATTCTTTCCACCGTCATTAAGAAACATCATCTTTTCCAAGTTTGCTTCAGCTTTTTCCTCAGATTCAGCATAATTAGCAATTATATGAGCCCTCATGTGACCCCCTAGTGACTTCCCACATGGATACCTCTTGTTACACAACTTGCACACAAACCTCAATTCTTGATCCACCTCCATTGATTTACTTGATAAACCAACAAAAACCCAATACTAAAATCAAGAACAGGAAGCAATCGACTACTCAATTTGTGCAACAATGTAGCAATTCTTGATCCAGCACCAGACAAATAGTACAACAAACAGAGGAACTAAAAAAACCAGATCAGAAAACTATAATTAGAGTATAAAACAAAGTTGAGAAAGTTCAAATCCTGTATGTGGGATTGGGCACAGATCACAAAATTTATAGCTTCATATGAACAAGTGATGCAAACAGGATCAGATGTGAAAGTTTATCGGAAGTAAAAGATCGGACTCAGACTAAAAGGAAAACTCCCTTAATTCTATTTCTATGTATTCTCACTCACTGAGAAACAGGCATATAAATTATAACACCAAATAATTGTTTCAAGATTTTGAAGAGTTCAACTTGGAAAGATAAACTTTTGAACAGATAAAGAAATAAAACAGAAGCAAATGACTTTTTCTTCCCTATATTTCTCCCTCTCTCTCTCTCCTTGTGTAAATATTCACGCACTCTCTCTTTTCCTTGTTTGTACGTCAGTATTTCATGCAAGGAAGCAAAATAAAAAGATAGGCTGCACGTGTAATTACAAGAGTTGAGTTCGTTGGTCTAAATCTAAAGGTCATGATCTATTATTGAGTAATACAGTATTATCTCCAAAACATCTCCTTGAACATAAGGTCACACCAAAATATAAACTTTTCCCATAGATTTACAGAATCAAAACTAATGGTGAATATGGGTTTTCTTTAATTAAATGGGTCGTTGGAACTTTATGAGGTGTATTTTCTCACAGTCAAAGCTCATGGGACGTTTCAAATTGGAAGAGAGTTTGAGAAAAGAGTGGAATTTGGGGTTGAATACAATAGAGTTGTATAAATTCCACACAGATTTAATCAGTCAAAACTTATGATTAATATGGGCTTTTTCTTGGAAAAGGGTTAAAAATTTATTATTATCTGTAGGAATATTTGGAAAGAATTGAAAAGGAGATACATGTTTGTGATCTGTCCAAAAATCTAAAGCAAATTAAAAAAGGAAATATGTGTAAGACTTTTCTAGATTATAGGTGTACTAAGCAAAGAAACCGTGTATTCAAAGACTTGAAGGCCCAAAGTCTAAAGGGATGCTTCCGCATAAGTTCATGTTTGCTAAGAACCACAATGTGCTTTCCAATTGTACCACCAGGGGCTAGGGTTGTACAAAACTTTCGAACCAATCAATGGAACTAGACTGGACTCGATTTGAACCGAGCTGTTCTTCTTAAATTAAATACCCACACAAGATATCTGAATCAAGAATTGAAGGATTTGGTTCGATTCTAGATTTAATACCCAAACGAGCTGTTCTTCTTTAATTAATTTATTTTAAATAAATCAAATTATTTTTTTCCAAATAAATTTGCTAAATAATTATTTTAGTTTAAACCAAGAATATGATTTTCGTATTTTTAATTTTCAGTCCAAACCTAATTTAATCAAATTGACCTAAGTTTACCCAAATCTATTATTCTATCGTAGTGTCATTTCTATCGTTTTGACAAAATTGAATTGAAACTCGACTGCGCCTCTTTTAATTATTATGAACTTGTTATCTTTCTCTTCCTATAATTTTAATAATCAAATATATGAATAACTCAACAAAGAGAGATGCAAAAGATATATAAAATTGTATTACGTTATTTTGTAAGAGCTAAAATTGAATATGTTAGTTGAGTTAATGTAGTTCTGTAAATATTAAAAAATTAAATTATAGTATGGAACTCAAGAAGCAAATGGAACCGAACCCGAATGATTCCATAATTAAATTTGAACTCAACGATTCCACTTACTAAATACGTTAAAATTTCGAGTCCGATTCGGTTATCTTTAGAATCGAATCGAGTCAGACTATGTCTAGTCCTATCGGAGGTGGAGTTAGAGGAGGGACAATTTATTTTTTTTTTTTTTTTTTTTAAGTACTGGATTGATACATGGAAAAAAAAAAAACAATTTCCACTACAAAAAAGATTTTTCATTAAAAAAATAAATTAAATTAGACTTGGGGCCTGGTCTACACCCTTGTTTACTACACATATGATAACACCCACAATTAAAGCACTTAAAAACATTATCAAACAAGTAAAATGTCCGAAAATCAAAAGTTACTTCAAAATAAGAAAAATATAAATTTGAAGCTTAGCCAAACATCATGAAAGTCTTCCACCAAGATTGTTTTTTAATTATTGCCATGGTGTTGCCATTAGGCTCCTTTATTTTTATTTTTTTTTCAATGTCAGATCTCACCCATTTTTTGTTCAATCTCAGATACAACATTGAAGCGACTCTAATGAATATTTCATGCTTCTAAACGTCCATGATTCATGAGTGTTCCCCAGTACGAAGTTGAAACTAATGCAGAAATGTTATGATAATGAAAATTAAACAATAAAAAGGAAAAATTAAATTAAGAAACTACTGGAGTTGATATAGTACATATTGATTTCGAAACCTTTACTAATTTATATATGTATGTCCGAAGTGTAGAGGGTACCCGTATAGCTATCGGTTTGGATCTATAATCTTCAAGTTCAATCTCAAGCGAAAGATTCGTGATATTTATGATCTTGATTGCGTCAAAGTGCTGATAGCGAATAAGAAGTGACTTCTTTTTTGCGTACAGGAAATTGATTAGATGGAGCTATATTGATTTTTTTTTACAACTATATGGACTTATTTAGAGGCTACCAAGAAGTCGGCCGGTCCACCACCGTTCAAGACGGGGAAGGTATCCAATTTTGACTCTTTTTACAATTGGTTTAATGACTGAATTATAAATCAATGATATTATGGAGTGTTTTGTGACTTTAAAACATACATGAATGAATGGAATTATGATAATTTATCAAGACATATTGAGCCTACCAATAATATAATGTACAAACACATAATATAATTTCTTAAATATATAATTAGTAAAATTAAATAACGAAAACGTAAAGGAATAACGATTTCATTAATCGAGATATATATTGTTTAAACCTACAAGAGAAAGAGAGAGACTAAAATAATTCAACGTGGGTGTAGAATATTTTATTTTTCTCAATATGTTGTGAAAAGTGGAATGAAGTGACAAAAAAAGTTTATTTCCAATATGCTCTGAAATTGAGTCAACAGTATTAACTTCTTAGTAATTAAAACCTACTAAAGAAATAATAATGGAAAATTGAATACGGCATTAATAATTGTAATTATTGATGCAAATGCCAATTTTCCTTAGGAAATTAGGTATTTTGATCCCAAATAAAATCGAGCAATTAATTATCTTAATTTTGATTAATTATCTTAATTAATCAGACATTCATTCATGGAACCAAGCACTCTAGACTTAATATGCACAATTTCAAGTCTGATTTCTATGGAGTAATGCGTCATGATAATGGAACGTGGGTGATGGAATAATCCATTGTCCCTCGCATTTCTTTCTCTCTTGAAATCACGTCTCAACTACCTCTATTTCATAAGAATTGAACTGTCAAATCCCATCATTCCACAAAAAATGCCATATCAATGATGTTTCATCATCATAATAATAAATAACATTTTTTTTTTTTTGCACAATAATTGAAAACATGCTCAATTTTTAAGTGGCAAAGAATTAAGGGATCCCATAATATTAATTTCTTTATATTAATTTCTTTATATATATA